CCTCTTAGCATCTTCCTACTGCCATGTGGTCCTCTCATGGGAGCCTTATCTTGTTTCTTCCAAGGGCAAGACCTTTGCAGATGTCCTGATTGGCTACAGGAAAAATATATCCGGATAGTATAGACTACTTCCAAGTCAAGTCTGATGTTTGAAGCTTCCTCACCAATGGACAGCTTCCCACAGACAGCATTTCAATCTGTAGCCTCCTCCACTCTATGTCGGCATCTTGCAGACTCCTCCTGAAGCCTTCCAGTCAGATAACTCATCTTTCAAACTGCTTTCTGGCAAGTTTTCTAGGCTTTGGGAGAAAACATCCCACTCTTCTCCCAGGGAACTTAAAACTATAAAGCATTGAGCAGCTAAATATGCAAACAAGGCTTGCATTCTCTGCAAATGTGCAGTCACATCACCTCACTTCTCTAGCTGGGATCTGTACAGCTTTCCGGACAGTGCAATCTTTGATATGGCATTGTCTCTTCAATATATTTCTCTCAAAACACACCAGCTGTGTTTTGCAGAGGGTGAGTTATGAATCAAAAATAGTTGGGAGTTTTCCACAGCAAGCCCAATCCATGAATGAGCAATGTCTTCCTGTCTGATTTCACCTTCATCGGGACTCAGGGGTGGATCAGTCACATACTGCCACAGACCTTTATTCTTCAGGGGAAAAAAAATCAATTTTCTGTGCCCAAGCTAAATAATTACAGCCATTTAGCTTCTCAAAAGGAAGTCCACCCATCTGTCCACCAGCTGCCATCTCTGCTGTTTCACCACAGAACTTAAAACAGTGAACAGAGCAAGTTCCTCCATGCCAAGTTCAAAAATTCACCATAACACAGGTGAATTGTTCAGGCACCTGAACACTCTTGATGACAGATATCTTCACACATGGTGCTGTATGTGGTCTGGGCCCATAACCTTTGTCATGCTGCAATTGAGACATGAATGTGATTTTCAGTATCTCTGCCAGACCTTGAGATACTCTTTGGAAATCAGGAAGCATAGCCAGACAGTTCACAGTGAAGGTATTTATTTACAGTTGATAAGGATATGAATATATACAGAAGAAGAATAGAGTATAGGGTAGAAGTAAACACTTTTTTTCCTCCTTAGTAGCTCACATCAACACAGAACTGAACTAGAATCTTAAGAATACTCTCTAACACACCAACTCACTGCACTGACTCTCCATGACTCCACAACTATAACCCTCAATTGTTACATTAGTCTCAGCCTTATATAGTATTGGCTGATGCAAACCTCCAATACATGTTATAATGCACTACATCATTCATGCTAAGTCATACATCTACAGGCGCAGTGCTCAATACACAAGTAAGTGTCTGGCCACCTCAAGGACATTTATCACCAGATGTCCTGGCCTTGTCATACAAACTTTACACACACATCATAACTGTACAGCTCTACAGATCTAATTTCATACTATATCATGGTGACAATTTAAATTGGGTTTCTTAATGTATTGTTTAAAGCACATTATGCAATTTTCTGTGTGACTGTACCTTTCTTAAAATCAAACTACACAGGACATGGAATGAAGAGCCATATAAAGATGAGCCCAAAATTCTAAAAACTGAGGCGGAAGCTGAAATAAAAGAAATGGCAAAAAACAAGACTCCAGGAACAAATGATATACCAATAGAACTGTTGCAATCCACACTGACAGAGTCAACTCTAGTGCTAACCAACGTATGTCAATGGATATGGAAAACAAAGTGGTGGTCAACAGATTGGAAGCGATCAATATGCATCCCCATCCACAAAAAAAGGAGACATGAGACATTGCAGCAACTATAGAACCATAGTACTAATCTCCCATTCAAGCAAAATTATGCTCAAAATACTGCAACATAGACTCCAGCCACATATGGAGATAAAAATCCCAGAGGTCCAAGCAGGGTTCAGGAAAGGAAGAGTCACCAGGGATCACATTGCAAATATATGATGGTTAATGGAGTGTAGCAAGAAGATCCAAAAGAAAATCAGCATGTGCTTTATAGACTATAGCAAAGCCTTTGACTGCATAGATCATTAAAGGCTATGGGATGTCCTTAAAGACATGGGAATGCCAACACATCTGATATTCCTAATGAGGAATCAGTACTCAGGACAAGAGGCTTTCCAAAGCTACACATGTGGTAGAAGAAGGCAACCATCCCAGAAAGAAGGAGCAAGCAATAATGCATTACATTGTCATTTATTACTTTTCTTATGATAAATCTATACTTTGCATTTTCAGAATGTTCCTGAGTGTGTAGGAGGGCTGTGTTAGGTTAGATAAATAATTACAAACATGAGTAAGGTAAAGAAAATGAAATTGTTCAAAATAGTCTACCACTTATATCCTGGCACACGACATCTTGCATGCTGAGACATGGCACTAAAGTGGTTAGTGCCCAGGAGAGTAGACTCATCAGTAGGTCTTTTGAATGTGTTGACCAATGTAATTCATCATTATGAAACAGGAGACCTATGCTAGACTAACTAAGGGGGGTTGCAGACTGCCAGAAATAGTGCAAATTGAGTCCACGTTTAGGGTTAGGGTTAGGGAATCATGGGAACTGTATTTTATTGTGGCACCAGAGCTCTCTGACAGAGAAGGCTTAATGTCTCGGGGGGGGGGGGGGGGAGGGGAACAATTCCCATGATTCCCTAGCACTAACCCTAACCCTAAAAGTGGACTCAATTTGCACTATTTCTGGCAGTCTGCAACCCCCCTATGTCTATAAGCTGTTGTAGACTTGGTCTATTTCCTTATATGCATGGAGTGAACTGGTGCTCAGTTTATAATCAGACTGTATGAATAGGCATAGAAATGTAAAACCTGTGGATATGGAGATAAGGTGTCAAGTTCAATTTTAATTGTGGTTGTTTAGAGAGAAAGGCAAGAGGAAACATGTTACCTAAGCTTGGATGGGTGGATGACTTTATGAATGGTGGAGGGGTTTTTGAATGTGTGTGCAGAATGAGAACCACAAAGGATATGTGATAAACTGGCTAAGAGTGTCCTTATGAGGCTGGTGTGGTAATCAGTTTTATAATACATCTAGTATGCCAGTCTAGTGTTCAACGTACTGTTGATGGAGTGGAGTTCATGGATATATTCTAATTCAGCTATTTCTCTTTGATGCTCAGTCCACTTCATGCATCTGAGGAAGCAGACTATGGGGCTTTGCAGACCAGCCTAAAGGGCCGGCCTGGGAGTGGAATTGGGGCAGGGCAGCCACACACTGACTGCCCTGACTCCACTCTAACACCATCCTGATGCCACACACCCATTTGTATGGTGTGCTTATAGGACATCCTCTTGGCACAGCGTGCACACATGCTGCACTAAAAGAGCACCAAAAAGCCGCCACTGTGGCTGAAAGGGTGGCCTTTTGCTGTTCCTAAAAGGAACAGCAAAAGGGAGGATCGGGGCTGCAGTGTGTGGTTGCTGAGCCTAATACGCTGGATAACAGCAGGTCTGACCGATTTAAACTCCAATTTTCCCCATGTGATAGACTCCTAGAAGTCACATTTCTCTTTCTCTCTTCCCCAGTGCAGGTATTTGATTTCATCTTTCTGCCAACAGAAAATAATTATGCTGGTGTTAAAGAAGTTAATTGCTATGTGAGATAATTGCATCCTGTTGATCTTGGAAATAGTTACCCTGTATAAAAGAGGTTTTGTTTCCAATTTGTTCATTTTGTTAAATCATTCCATTTGCTATTTGTTATAAGGATGTTTCTTTTGACATTATTTGTATTCTACAATCACAGGCCTGGGAAATAGCAGAAGGGCAGCAAGTCAAAAGGTGACCTGAGACAAAGTTCTTTCATATATTATAGGCTAGTTGGTATGTTTTGCCAATTTCAGACTCTGAAGTCTGGTTATTCATAGTGAAAATCATCCTATTCTATTGTTTTAACAATAGAAATAATTGTACCCTGATGAATGGATGATGTCTTAATAGGGTTGAAAGAGTTAAGTTCTATTTAGAAAGATTTGTTTCACTGTTATCTGGGCATATTGCCCATACGATTGAAAAAAATATATAGCAATATCGATAAAATAAGCCCAGTGAGTTATTGAAAAAAGCAAGAATCCAGCTTGGTGTAATCCTTCCTCATAATATTCCTTGATGATGCTTAATGGCAGAGAGGCAAATGGACAGGTAGTGGTCTTTACTTCTGAGTTCTCTTTAATTCCAGTTATTTGGTTGGATAAAACAAATAATTTAAACCTAGTAAACTAACTGGCTGACAAAAAACTGTATTAAACAGAGTATGTGAAGATCAGATAGAAGGATCTCAGACACAGGTATAAAAGCTACCTCGAGTCATACAAAAATCAAGCAATCTCATGGCTGCTTCCAATGGCTTCTTTATAGGGCTACCTCTTACAGCTGTCTCCAGACTGTGAGCCATATCTTATAAAACTGGTAAAAGAAACAGAGAGAGAGCTACATCTCCCTGGATAACTAATTAAACTATATAGGATATGCTTCTTATATAACAGTGTATCTATAACAGTGTACCAGCTAGACAAGAATGTGCTTATATGAGAATGTGTTTAGAGGAGGTCAAACATAGACAAAGAGGCAATTGCCTCTCTGAATATACTTTCCTCACCAGAATAAATAGAAGCAGTGACACAGCCTTGATAGCCTCTATAAGAATGTGCTTAGACATTAAGATGTTTAGGCAATGTAATGATCCTCCACAAGGGGAATGTGTGTATGTTCAGCTGAGAACAGTGTGGTGTAATGAATTGAGCACTTGCCTATGATTTGGAGACTAGGTCCCTATCTGCACAGGCCAATGTAAATGACCTCTCCCAGTCCTCATGGCAGGGAGTCCAGACTATGCAGGGCCCAAACCCAAGTCTGGTCTGAACAGAGTGGATGATGGCTGGCCTGTTCAGTGCCAAACCCAGGGTATAACACCCTTTATATGGATTTAAATACACCACCCTTTGCTCTTGATCTTCCTGCATGAGCCAGCATGGTGCAGTGGTCTGAGCACTAGATAATGACTCTGGAGACCAGGGTTCAAATCCCTGCTTGGCCATAGAAACCCACTGGGTGACTGTGGGCAAGTCACAATCTCTCAACCTCAGAGGATGGCAAACCCCCTCTGAAGAAACTTGCCAAGAAAACCTACATGACAGGTTCACCTTAGAATCACTGTAAATGGGAAACGGTTTGAAGACACACAACAACAACAAACTGCTTGGTTTAATAAAGAGCAATAAAAACCACAAGGCTCGCTTATTCTCCAATCACAAAGAATTCTGAAATTCCAAAACTTAAGGTGTAGTTAAAGGGAATGTTGCTATTAATCTGCCCAACTAGACATAAATTAATTAATAAAGGGCAAGAGAGCTTCACTCCCTCTATACAAGGTTGGGATGTAGGAACAATTTCTGTTTCACACATACCGTAACTTGATCCTCTGAAAAGACCAAGCAGCATAGAACTACCTGTACACAAATACAGAGCAGACAAGTCAAAGACTGCTATATCTAAGTGCAATGCATATACAGTTGCCCCTCCATTTTCACATACCGCCCCCCATGAAAATGAAAAATAGCAAATATTCAAGCCCCATTGGCTTGAATGGCCATGTGCTGTTGCACATGAACCTGTGCATGCACCATGGGCACATACACCATTTTGTCCCTCGGTGCTTGCCATTTGTGAAAGACCAAGGGATGTGAAGGGCAAGACTGCAAATGCAAAGGGACAAGTGTACTTCCAAGTCACAAGTCACCCTCAAAATATAAGCATTTCCATCTTGGCTATGAATTTCAGCTTCAGCAAATTTGAAGGACTACCATATTGATTGGGATTTTGAGGGAACGTGACTAACTGCAGATCATGGAAATGTTAGGGTTTGGATTTGGGATTGCAACATCTCTCTCACAACATTGGTGCCTTCTTGAGAACTGATGACAACACTTTAACTGCCATGGCTCAATGCTATGGAATTATGAGATTTGTAATTTGTTGTGGCACTACATATTTCTAATAGAGAAGACTAAATATCTCACAACCCACAGCCAATGGCAATGTATGGTGGATTACAGTTTTATGTACGGATGTTACAGTTTTTGAAGATTGGTCAGGAATGTAGTTATTAAACTTCTCATCAATCATACATTATTTTCAGAGTGTATAGTCACACCTATGTGTGTGAGATTCTATAAAGACCTACATATGCTAGTATCACAGGCCTATTTCATGGTGACTGAATTTTGTATATTTCTTAAAGAGCAACCATGTGCTAGACATGACAGAGGTATGATAACCTAACTATAAACATATGAACAGCTGGTGTTAGGCCATGCCATCCATAATGGTAATAAGGAACCTCCCTGAGAACAGACAACTTTTCCATCTCTCAAATCTAAGGAGCAAGGAAAAGGTTGGGGGGGGACTACATTCATTCCCAACCAGTAAAAACAATATTCTTCAAATTTCAATTTCTAGAAGTTTGATCTTCTTTGATCTTCCTTAGTAGGTGTTCCACATCTGTGAAGTTTTCTGCTAGTACGATGGTGTAATCTGCGTATCTTAGATTGTGGATATTCCTTCCTCCTACTTTCACTCCTACTTCTTTGTATCCAAGCCTACTTCTCTTATAATATGTTCTGCACACAAGTTGAACAGACAGAGTGATATGCATCCTTGTCTGACTCCCTTGACAAGTGGGAACCAATCTGTTTCTCCATGCTCTGTTCTGATGGTAGCCTCTTGTCCTGAGAACAGATTCCTCATTAGCACTATCAGATGTGTTGGCACTTCCCTGTCTTTTAAGGGCATTCCATCGCCTTTCATGATCTATGCAGTCAAAAGCTTTGCTATAGTTTATAAAGCACATGCTGATTTTCTTTTGGAATTCCCTGGTCCGCTCCATTAGCCATTGCATGTTTGCAATGTGGTCCCTCGTGTCTCTTCCTTTCCTGAACCCCACTTGGACCTCTGGGATCATTCCATATATGGGTGGAGTCTATGTTGCAGAATTTTGAACATGATTTTGCTTGCATGGGAGATCAGTGCTATGGTTCTATGGTTGCTGCAGTCTCTTGTGACTCCCTTTTGTGGATAGGTATATTGATTGCTTCCAATCTGTTGGCCATAGTTTTGTTTTCCATAT